CTCTTTATTAAACCCAGAATTTCAGCAAAAATACACATAATTTAAATTTAGTGCAAAAAACACAATATAATGCCCACTTTTTGGTAAAATGTGTGGTTGTGAGTATATAGATACCCAACATGCCAAGCTTACAAATTGCATGCACCCGTGAAATGGTGACAGAATACGGTAACCCAAATTGCCCATAGGTGATGCTCTAAAAGCAGGTACAAAGGAAAAATAAGAAGTACAGAAGCGCTACTACCAAGTGGTGACTTGTCAAAAAACAAATGAGGGAATCAGAATGGACTCCCATCTATCCACACTTAGCCGCTGATAACGCGCCAGCACCCACTCCTTGGTAAGTCTGATTCCCTCATTTGTTTTTTGACAAGTCACCACTTGGTAGTAGCGCTTCTGTACTTCTTATTTTGTTCTTAATAGCAAACGTCGGACACCCCGGTCCGCATTTCCCAGGAGCCGCACACCAAGTACTCGAACCCATACTCGCACACCCTCACCTCAGCGTTAGCGCTGCATCAAGGGACATTTCTCCCAATTTAAAAGCAGGTACAGGACATCAGTTTAAAGTTATTCATGAATATTGGCCCTAGAATTATTGCTCTTACTCTGGCACACGCAGCAATACCCATCATTGTTGTTCTTATATGTAGGCGCACTCAATGCGTATTTACATTAGTATGTCTATTTATTTGTGGGGGCCGGGGACATTAAAAACATTTTTTAGGTATTTTGATAATAATATATTATTTCTATTAGACCCCTAATGTCACCTTTGCGCTTCAATGAAGCTGTTCAAGCTGAACAGCTTCTTCCTTGGCTTCTCTAGCCAGAAGTGATACAATTAGCATCACTTCTGGCTTCATTCAGTGTGGAGGAGATCAAGGATTGCATGTTAGCTGGTCTCTCTCCCTGCTACCCACTGACACCCACAATGCTGGCCCCAGGCCCGTATAAGGGGCAGCAGAGTCCAGGAAACAAGGCAGGGGGTGTTGGATAGGGGGAACCAGTTTCCTGGCCCCTGGAAGCAATCTTGTGGCAGCTCAGGCACCAGAATCACTTCCAATGTAAAGCTGACAGTCAGCTTCACATAGGTAAATGGCCTACAGCTGCCGGGAATCTGTTTACATGGATACTGCCCAGGCAACCAAAGGGCTAAGGCATGAACATTTTAATTTTTGAAATTGTATTGATTGTTTATGTTATCTTTAATCGTAAAACAGTGGTATTTTTATAGAAAGAAATATGATTGGGTCACTGTAGAATCTGAAAAGTCCCAAATTATTAACTGAGATTATGAAAGCCTAATTCTTCATACCATTAAGGTACAACTGTCTTGTGTAGCAATTATATATGTTGCCTTGCTTCCTCGGCTCCTCTGCCCCTCCTGGGGGCCTGGGACTAGCATTGTGGGTGTCAGTGGGTAGCAGGGAGTGAGACCAGCTAACGTACATTCCCTGATCTCCTCCACACTGGATAACTCTAAACTAATGACCTGTACCTGCTTTTAAAGCATCACCTATGGGCAATTTGGGGTACTGTATTCTGTCACTGTTTCACGGGTGTACACAATTTTTAAGCTTGGCATGTTGGGTTTAAAGAGTTGTGCTAATCTCATGCAACGTAATAATTTGCAATTAATTGTTTTTTTTTTACTGTAAAGAAATTTCCTCTCACTTTTTGTTTTGTTTCCAGGAAGTGAGGGAAAATTCCCCCCACAGCACACAGAGAAAAGTTTTGGCTATGTACTTTTACTATTTGGTCTGATATACAGTATATACAGTATGTGTTATCAGTCATAATCAGGAAAGTCAGTTCCCTGAACGCCATCCATGACCTCTGATGTTGGGAAGGCCTGGGAACACCTTCCCTCACTCTGCATTGCTTCCCAATATCATGAGGAGGCCAAAGAAAGTACTTCCACTCTCTCTTATTTTTTGCTCTGCTATTATCTGTTCTCATTTTATTTATTGTGATTCCTGATCTTTTATAATGGATTTGAAGAAGTCCGGTCCTCAGACGAAATGAGTAAGGGTACACCTGTTACCAAAGGTTTGACCTGCAGATAGACTGCATACTAACATGAACCCTTTTCTCTGCCTATGGTGCCTTAGACATGTACATTTTGTTTAGTTTTTGTTTGGATATTGGTACGAATTTCATTAAATTCAGACATTTGGATGCATCCAAATTCTAACGCGGCCAAATGCGAACGAATCTTAATGCTCCTTTAAAAAAAAATTGGAATCCATCCGAATTTCATTCAAAACTAAATTAATATAGACATGTGACTGTTCTCTGGCCAATCAGATGCAGGTTTTTTTGGCTGTTAGGGGTTGCATTAGAGGCACGTTCATGTAACTTTGTTCCGAAGTGAAAATTCAGACAGATCTGAAATCCAAATAGAAGACCAAATCAAATTTTGGATCTGAAATCCAAAAAATTAAAGATAAAAAACAGAATGGATCCAAAATGAAACTAAACACGTTTTTGCAGGGTTTCATGTCTACTACCAATGATTAGCCCCCAGCAAAGGAACCGTGAAAGGGATTTGTTGGACTTAAAGTGACACTAAACTAAGGATTTAAATATTAAAAATGCATTCAGATACCCTGACTATTAACAGAAATGTATCTTATTTGTGTATCTCTCAGTTGCAGATCCTCAAATCATCTCTGAATTGGTGCTGACACTGTCCTTCCTTCTGGAGGGGGGCTACTTTTATTCCCCATGGTCCCTGTGTGTGTTGTAAAGTAGTCAGCGCTCCATGATTTTTGTTAATAGGTAAGGTACTTGAATGCACTCCTGAGTTCAGTGTCACTTTAAAAAACTAGCACTAAGCATAGCTGTACTGCTCCATCATGAATATCCATACAAGTTGCGCACCCTACACAGTGAAACTTTCAAGCCCTGATACCCATCAAACTACAGGGCTAATAAGACTCCTGAACTAGCTGAGCAACATTTGAACTACATGCTGACTGAAATATGATGCAGAGAGAGGAGGGGGTATGTCTTTCTATCTAATGGCTTTTCTATGCAGCAGATGGATTCACTGAGTATCCTATGTTCTCCATCATATAGCGCATAGAAAAATAATAAACCAGAAGGTTAAACTTGTTCCTGCACATAAATGGATTATGTTGCACTGAGTAAAGCAAAGTATTACCACGTTTGTGAAAAGATGTGACTTGTATTAGCTAATAGGTACAGAGTGTATGCCATGAAATACAACTGACATTTATATACAGGCTTTCCTGGAAATCCTTTATACACAGGGTTTGATGTGGAGCTACAAAGAAAGGTAAAAAGCCCATGTACTTTCAATGACCTGAGGAGGAACAACTTTTCGGGGAACAACTAATACACTCAACGACTCAAGGGGATTAAAGGCACTGCATTCAGGAACGGATTTACTCTCCCTGCTGCCTCAAGTCCAAGTTCCGCAATGCACCCACCTCCCCGCCCCCCCATCAATGAAGAATGGCAACTGGATGGCAGGGGCGGCAGGGTTAGTTTTATGGGTTTTTTTTTATTGTTTCTTTATATTTTTTTTACTTTATCACTTTTTTATTTTTATTAATTGTTTAACTTTTTTACATTTTTAGCTTATCATTTACTTTTTTATTTTGGTATAATTTTTGTATATTTTTTATTATAATTTTTTACTATTTAACCAGTTGACATCCGCGGTGTTAAACCCCCTTCCCATCCAGGCCATTTTTCAGTATTCAGCGCTGCGGTACTTTGACTAACATTTATTCCGTCATGCAACGCTGTACTGAAATTAATTTTATACCCTTTTTTGGGGACAGATAGAGCTTTCTTTTGGTGGTATTTACTCACCACTGGGGGGTTTTAATTTTTTACTATATTAAGGAAAAATTACCGAATTTTTAAAAAAAAAACTGTTTCCCCTATATTAAGTGATAAAACATTTATTATTACCCAATTTGTTGGTAAAATATAAAAAACGGGGTCACATTGGGTAAAAAGACACCAAACATGTCAGGCCTTAAAATTGCGTGCACACGCGAAACCTCAAAAAACGATAATACCCAAAATTGGCCCTAGGCGACGCTTTAAAAGCTGTTACCGCTCATCAGTTTAGTGTTATCAGTGATTGATGGCCCTAAAATGATTGCTCTCACTGCGACGTTCGCGGCGATATGTAACGTGTCTAGCGCAATTGTTGTTTTGCACGCTGGTGCACCGGACGCGTATTTACATTTATATCTGCGTAAACGTGGGGGTGGGGGAGTTACACATTTTGTTTTTTTTTTAAACTATTTTTATATATGACTTTTTTTTTTTAATTTATATATATATATTTGCACTTATTGTTATTGCTATTATATAGGGGGATAACAATTTTTTCCGCCCCCCTGGTGCCTGGTGCCGCCGATCGTCTATATGTGAAACACCCGGTAACGGGTGTTTGCATTGGTCGGGTCTTTTCTGTCCGTGCACGCCCGCTAGGGGGCGCGCGCAAGCAGAAAAAAATGCAACCCACCAATGCTGCAGTGCCGTCCGTCCTTTTTTTACAACGGGCGGACGGCAAGTGGTTAATCATCTTTTTATTTTACTTAATTATTATTTCTTACTACTTTTTACATTTTTATTAAAAAAAATGTCACCTAACTTTATTGCTAACACACAGGAGCTAGCTAACAAGCCCCTGTATGATAGCCTTTGGAGGTGACAGGTTCTCTTTATTGACCCTGTCACCTCCAATACAGGAGTTCTAGCACTGCACTGTGCTGGAACTCCTGTGACAGCTGAGATGGGAAGAGCACTGCTCTCCCCTCTCACTGTGTACACAGAGCAACAGGGTTAGCTTTAACCCTGCCGCTCTGCTCCCTGCATCGGCGGCCAGTGAGGAGAGACTTGGCGGCCGGGGGAAGGACGGAGTCGCGAGGACGGAGGTCTGTGGGGGGAAGGGGATGAGGAGGGGAGGACAGACAGGCTGCACACATTTTACACGTGATGGCGGCGACATCGCCGCTATCACCTGTAAACGAACAAGCGGCTTCCCCACATTACATTTAGTCCTGCCTTCCCAAAGCAGGACTAAATGTAGAAGGCTACTTACCGCATGGCGCCCGGAACTTTACGCTTCGGAGGATTCCACACCGCTGCCACCCCTCTGCGCCCTGCTGCCCCGAGGCCTGGCCTCGGTGGCCTTGTGGGGAGTCCGATCCTGACTATATGAAAGGGTCCATGCATAATTGTGCTCTACTCCCCGAATAAAGTGGGCATGGAAAGCATAGGGGCTTGAATACAACACATCTAACCATTAATGACAATATGGCTATTACAGGAGTATTTTAAACGGAATGATAAATGTAGTTAAATCAATTAAATGTAATTACAATAAGTCCACACAGGGCTAATTTTTTTAGTTAATAACATTTTTGTAGTCCACATAAATTCCTTTTATTATTATTAATTATAAATAATTGATAATGTCCCCAGGCATTGTAAGACACTCGATACGCCATCCTTGGCAGACTGTAAGTTGATGTAAATGCAAATAGAGGAACTCACAGTCCATCAAATGATCCTTATCCAACATTTATATGCTACATGGAGTGTCTGGATAGACTTTTCCAGTCACGCTTGTCAAAGAAAGTGGATCAGACCGGGGGCTTAGTCTCTGATTTGAGCAGTGAACCGGTGAGATCCCCTCGCCTCCTTCTTCTCCCACCTCACCCATCTCCTTTTCTCTTCTCTTTTCCCTTTTCCTACCCATCTTTTATTTTTCTCCTCCCCCCTATCTGTCTCCCTCTATCTTCTCCTCTTGGACTTTTCCATGGCCCCTTGTTGTGTGCAGAGTAGTGATGTAGTGCTACCTCTACAACATCATACATGATCTATCATTTCATCCACAGATGTCTCTGAGTCTGGTGTCGCTGTATCTTTTGACTTTTGCTGTTGATTTTGAACTTCGAAGAATTATAAGTACACAATTGACTCGGGGAGTCAATTTCTATGTGTGTACATTTCTTAGTATTTAATGTACAACTCAAAATCTTATTCCTTAAAAAAAAAATAGTTAATGAACAAATGTTTTGATATGTTGTCAATAAAAAAACAATGGAATAACATCAATTGGGGTAGTTAACAAATCTGAGTTTTTCTGAGGAGGAGTTGAATTATATGCATGGTTAAACAATCTTGAGGTAATGCAGTTTATTCATCATTGCCCCAAGCAAATAAAAAAAAAAAAAACCTTCAGTGCCCTGCAGAGCCCTGACCTAAACCCTACTGAACACCTTTGGGATAAATTGGAATGCTGATCGTAAACCGGGTCATGAGTACCTAACCTCACAAATGCTCTCTTGGCTGAATGGGCACAAATTCCCACAGACACACTCCAATATCCTATGGAAAGCCTTCCCAGTAAAGAGAAGACTGTTATAGCCACAAAGTGGCAGCCAACTCTATATAATAAAACTCCTATGTGTGTGATGGTCAGGTGTCCACTAACATTAGCCATACAGTGTATCTCAAATGCATATCAGGCACATTTCAAACCAAGTCTTTTTTCCTGAACACAATCTACAGTATTCTAGGTTTAGTTGGTCTCCAAGTCTGAAGACTGCATTCACTTACTTTGAAGCTCAGCATGTGATGTCAATATGTTTTTGCACAGAAAGCAGAGTTACCTCTACTGCCATCTTTGATCTCCAATCCTTATTTTGTTTCATACCCCTTTTGACAGAAGAGGTTTGATAAATAAAATGCTGGGAGCTTACAAGGTTCCTATCACATTCATACAGACATACATTAGAGTCAGTTTGGATGATAGACAAATTAAAGCTGACCTCCAGAATCCCCTTCAGTTTTACACAGTTATACAGACTTCTCTTCTGTTATAAAATCCTCTTATTTAAATGCACACTGAAAGCTTTTTATAGAGTGAATTAGAAGCTGCAGCAAATCAGATAGAGCTCATCTCTCCTCGAGCATTACCAAGCCCTTTCCTCCTGAGTCTGACTGGCTGTTTCATTCCTTTGATTTCATTTCTTGCAATAATTGAGACTCCGCTTCGCATGTTGGTATTACTTAGGACAGTCTTCTTGCAAATACAGCCTGCCAGAGACGCCCAGTCCTATGGACATCCACCCATCAAGCTATTTTGATATTTGCATAACTCCTCCCAAGAGCCAGCCCACTGGTTGCATCAGGGCTGAGGGCTCTTGAGAGGAGTACGGAGAGAGGGTGCTGTGATGTTTTCAGGAACCTATATACAGCACCCTGCCAGCCCCTCCCACCATTCATGACCTGCCTGTATTGCCTAGAATAGCACAGAGACCCAGAGATGAAATCACTGGGTCTAAAATAAGGAATACAAAATGGAACAGTTTTCTTTAAAAATATAATTAGCATATTGATAGGGATGAGCAAAATATAAGCAGATTAAACGTCAGCTTTAGCAACCCCTATGTATTGTGGGAGGAAGTGGGGAGCATCACGTACACACGGAGAACACGTACATTGTATGCCCCTGGGGAGACAGTGAACCCTGGGTCAAAGCCCCACATATTTACAGTGCTAGGAGAACCTTTGACTTCTGATTTTACTTCTATCAGGGACAAATCAATTAAACCGTATAGTCTAAGTTGAATATGAAATGTAATGGGTAAATGTAAATGTCCGGTTTATTGCACTGTATATTGTCTGCTTCTGCTTTTACTGGAAAGTATAATGTAAACCATTATGGTCTGTTAACTCTGGCCTCTGGTGCTGTCAGTAAACGACTCTGAAACCACCAAAAATCATATAGGTCCAATGGGCTATCATACACACTAGAACACACAAAAAAATGGTGCATGTGCTATTTTGTAAAACAGAGAACCACGGTGCAGTGGTTTATTGCCATCCATAGTGGTGTGCTGCAATGCATGTCTTTTAGAAAGATCTCTGGGGTGCCATTAAGAACTAATGGCACCACAGCACAGCAGTGTGGACCCAGCCTTGAAGGCTGATTCCACCTTTCTGGCCATATTTCATATTACACTCATAATTAGGTTGGCTAATAATTTGGGTGAAATCCAACTAGTTGACCATACTACAGAGCACGCACAAGGTCCCTCCTTGCTTCTCCCCCATACTTGTTCCCCCCTACTGTATAATAATTTGGGTCAGTGTAACATGAAACATGGTCACAGTCTGCACCCCAAGCCTGACCCCCAAACTGCCCCCCTTACCCAAATTATTGGGTTATTTTCTTAAACTCACCTCGCCTGTGCAAGTGGAGCCACGCACAGTGTCACAGATCTGTGAAAGGAAGACTCCAAGCCCATCTGCCACTTGTAGATCTCAATAAAGCTCAAGCGTGGTGATGTCACTACACTTGTAGTTCAATGTTTACTTCTTCCAATTCCTTCCAAAATGCTGGATATGCCTTTAAACTGGAACTTCAGGCAAACCATTTAAAAAGGTTTGGATAGATTGGGTAATGAGAAGAATATATAGCAGTATTTTCTTTTGTCCTGTCTGTGCCTCAGTTGGTGGGATTTCGCCTGACTATATATCCATGTGAGGTAGGAGAGATGTAGTCACTCTGTCCCATCTATACATTTGTAATTACAATGTTGAGGCACAAATCCTGCATAATCAACAGCAAAACTTAATGCAACTGAATATTGCAGGCCCGTATGGAGAATAGCATGAAGCAGGCATATGTATATAATAGTAACGTGCGTCCTGACCTTACAGGTACCGCTGAACCTACTAGACGTAAGGGCACTCGCCTCAATAAGGACACATACCACAGAGGTTCTCTAGCGCTTCTTCATGCTAGTTTTCTATAATTTTAATGTTCTGGTTCGATGAGATAACCCTTGTTTCATTCTCTGGTGACTGTAAAAGAAGTAAGGAGAATGTCCCCAGTCACAGACCACAATATAAACTTTAAACAGGTAATCTCATTCCAAATGGCTGGAGTTGGGCTTTAAACAGGTTCATCTTAGAAACAACTTCATCCTTTACTAAAGACTGTAGAAAAGGTAACATGCTGCACATCCTGACATGGCAAACAGCTTCGCATAGACTCGGCACATCTGCCGTTGTCACTTTAAAGCCTCTTGATAATGAGTAGTGACTTATAAATGTATGAGCTTGTCGGAGGTTTTGTTCACGACATAAGGTAAAAGCTCTTATAATTTATAGGCAAATTGAAAAATAAGTATTAGGTGTCCTTTTACTGATATTAAAAAGCCGAGATAGCTGATCCATATGAACACACATTTCCCAGTGTGCCACACCATGCTAATTAGGAGATGTGTTATGTGCTCACAATCAAGCTTTTGGGTCTATACTGCCTGTCCAGAAAAAAAGTAATTTCCAGGATTTAGCTAAGCAAATAGGTAAGGGCCTTCCATTGGATAATTACTGCAGTGATTAAAATATTTCAACTGGCAACAATTGATGTCAGCTACTGCCTGAATATACTGAATGATCAAGTTCTTCCATTAATGGATTTTCCTTCCCTGATGTCACATTGGGCATATTCCAAGAAGACAATGCCAGGACTCATCGGGCTCTGATTGTGAAAGAGTGGTTCAGGGAGTATGAGACATCATTGTCACACATGGATTGGACACCACAGAGTCCAGACCTTAACCCCATTGAGAATCTTTGGGATGTGCTGGAGAAGTCTTTACACAGAGGTCTGACTCTTCCATCATCATTACAAGATCTTGGTGAAAATTTAAAGCAATGCTGGATGGAAATAAATGTTGTGACATTGCATAAGCTTATTGGAAAGATGCCACAGTGAATGCGTGCCGTAATCAAAGCTAAAGGTGATCCAATTAAATATCAGTGTGTGACTTTTTTTTTTGGATAGGCAGTGTATATAAAAATGTTGGCTTTTTAGAAACATATTTTTTTCTTACAGTAGCGGTACTTCTATGTGTTCAGGAAGAGTCTACCCAAGAACATATTTGAGCTCCCTAGACTCCATAAGGTAGTAGCCCAGATAGACCACTCTCCTATCATCTTAAAGTACCATGAAGCACCATTTATTTGCTAAATTTGTGGCCTCCCTTGTACTGGAAAGCTTTTTAATAAACACTGGAGTGTTGGTCATAAGAAGCCTACCCACACACAAACATATCCTTCAGAGGGCCCTTGATAACTTATGAACAGGTCTAGGGAATGCCCTGGCCAAGTCCACCATTAGAGGCCTGGGACTGCTGCACCCCATGCAGCCACAGTAGTCCCATTACTATTTCTTTTCATTTCATGCTGATCATCTTATTCAAAACTTGCCATGTCCCTGAAATGTGGTTGTCTCCATACACTTCAATAAATTTATGCAGAATAGCTTACCTCATCACATCACTAAGCTGACTCAGAAGAGCGATCACAAGGTTTTCAGACCACAGAGTAAAATGTATTGTGATAAATCTGCCAAGCAAGAGAGAATGCGGATTTCATATGAGCACATGGGGAAAAGTAGGGAAATCTATCAGAAATTGTAGAATAAGAGCAAAGGATTAAAATGGAGAAAACAGCAGTGTATTGACAATGCATTGAGCAATGAAAGCATTATGAAAATGTAATTGCCCTTCGACCAGAAAGCTGTCACCAAGAAAAGAACATCTGGACATGCAGTAATATGCCTATTACACAAGGTAGCATTTCTGTGATGAGTCTGTCAGTGTCTGGATTGGTGATACAATATCATGCAAAATGCACTCTGCATGACGCCAGCCATCTGTTTTCATTAATTATTTGCATTCAGTGTTTGCAGTAGTAAAGTTCTTGAATCCATAATGTTTACTGCAGCTTTTGCAAATGTAGCAAAGACTGAAAGGAAACCTGTAGTGAGGCGGTAAGGAGGCTGCCAATGCTGACCACAGATGATGAGCAGATAGAGAAATGTGTGCAGTGTATTTAGGAGACAGAGAACAGATGCCAACAGTCACTTCCAGGAGGCAAGAGAAGTGGTACCATGTAGTGTCCATGCAGAGATAGGGCAACTAAACTCATAAAAGGCACAGAAAGTGAGAAGAAGGTGAAGATTTCTGTATGCCGGAGGGCTTCTAATGTTGATGGTAGCGTTTTGTATCTGACAACAAGTGAGTGTTTTGAATCCTTTGTCTAATAAATTGGGGTCTTATTTACTACACTATGAGTCTCTGCTATCCTTTCTTCTGAGCTGGCCGGTTGTTTAGAAATCTGTCATTGGTGACTCTGAGATACTGGAGATATTTGAGACGTGGAGGAGCAGAGGGTACACCAGAGGAGAGATACAGAAAGGAGAGGAGAGCTGTAATGTATCGCTGTATTTGACCATCCCTAGCTTTGATGGTCGTATTCCTCAGGAACCACTTCTAGAAAGATTAGTTAACTGTTTAAAAAGAAATATGGATGCATTCCAAAATGCACAGAATATAACTAGATAGTAACATTTTTAAACTAAAAAACATTAGAGATTGCTGATCCAGGGAATGTCTGATTGCCTTATGGGATCGGAAAGGAT